CAGGGACACACTGAGAAACCCTGGGATAAGTGACGGCCTGAGACCGCACATGGAGGAGATAGGGGATTGCAGATTTGAAGTCAGGACTGCCAAATTCAAACCCCAGGCTCCAGAGACTAGACAGCAATGCTGTGTGAGCAGAGGGCTCACAGGGAGGGAGTGCAGCCTCTGGTGCCCTTTGGCAGTGATCTCTTGGACAAGTGCCCAGTCAGCAGGGGCAGTGACTTTTGGAGCCTTCCCTGTCAGCTATTCCCAGGCAGCACGTGGCTCATGGCCAGGAGTGGGGAGCTCCATTCCTGTAGCTCTTTCTCTGCGGTGGCTGGGGCTGTTTACATCATCCCATTGCCAAAGGGATTTTAATGTCAGTGAAATCCAGCTGTTCCAGAAGCAAGCGGCTCAGAAGGACCTGGTGCGCAGCCTGCTCTGTGGGCTGAGCTCTCTGCAGGATCAACTACTGTTTCCCTCAGTCCATATCTGCTCCAGAGATAACAGCCTAATGCTGAGCTGAGTGTGAGTGTGTGTGTGTGTATGTGTGTGTGTGTGTGTGTGTGTGTGTGTCTGTCTGGGAAAGCAAGTAGTCGCTGTGACTGCGGAAGACCCCAGCCTAATGTTTTCTGCAGATCTAGGCATGATGTTTCAAGACAAAGTTTTCACAGTATATATTAAAGCATGATTTCCTACTACTTTGAAAATCGAAAGATGTAGGAAAGAGGAAGGAAGAAGTTACTGGTGGATGCCTACACATCCTACTTCCCTTCTCATCCTCACACAGTGATAATTATTAACCTTTAAATACCTTTATTGGTCTGTGTGGTTTTTGTTTTGTTGTTGTTATTCTAACAGTAGCACACATTCAATGTAGATAATTTAGGAGGAAAATAAAAGACAGATTTAAGTTGCCTGTAATTTCCCACTTAGCGATAACTCCTTTGGAGTGCTTTTCCCTTGTATCGTTACTTGACGTAGCCCTTCAGGTCACCTGGAATAGAAATGCAGGTGTATTTGCTCTGGCAGCTCATGTAAATATTCAGGCATCACCAGGGCCCTTGTCTTTCTGTGTACATCTGTAAAAAGTTGAACTGTTAGAATTCATCACCTATCTGGTTTCATCCCAGCATGCTGGAAAGTGTGAGTACTGCTGTTCTGAGTTACAGAACTTTTCATTCTTGGATGCTTCCCTGGGAAAGACAAATGACAATACATGCAAATGCGGACAGAGGAAAGTGTTTTTGTTAACAGTCCCTCCTGCAAGCAAAGCATGTAGGGGCCAGGTCTGGTGCCTCGTTAGTTACCCTGTGCTCTTGTAACCAGTTAGGAGGTAAGACAAGTGGCCTAGAAGGTCAACCCGAAAAGTCATTGGTTACATTTCTCTATAGTGAGACCAAACTTAGAAGTCCTTGCCTTTCTCCTCCTGGAGGGATAGTAACTGCTGTCAGTAGAAAAGGGCAGAATGTTTACATGATGCATTTTACTGGTTGGGTGACTTCCCTGAGAAGTGGACAGATGTAAAATTGGTTTGGGTTTGTCCACCTCACAGTTGTATTTACAGGGGTTAGACCTCTCGACTTCATGCTGTCCCACGACAAGTTCCCAGTGTCTCGGAATCCTGGTAGAGCCAGAGGAGCGCAGACCTCCCAAGGGACTGTGGTGGCTGAGCTGTGGTCAGGCTAACTGCACAGGGCACTGTGTTTCTTTTCAAAAGGTCAGCCGGTGGTGTGAGGCGGGAATCTACCTCTTGGCTTCCCAAGCTGTAGACAAGTGCCAGTCTCGAGAGGGTGTTGACGTTGCCTTGACCGACATCGAGGCATTCCTGGACACAGCGATGGAGCAGCAGCTGCCCAGCCCCAAGGAGATTTACAACCAGTTTGAGTTGATTCTCACCCCTGATGTAAAGGTAATGTTGGTGGGTTATTCTCATCCTGTGGTTGGGAAGGAGGCATTGGGGGCCTTTGCCTGTTGCTGAAGAAAGTCCAGGCAGGATATACTGAGCAGGTTAACCAGTTCTTGAGCCCTCAGGGGGCCTCTTAGACTCCTGGCAAACGGCTTCTTGGCAGACTGACCTTTCACAGTCTGACTCAGTCATTCAGTTCTCTACAAATCTTCACGAGCATCTCTCATGTATCGTGCACTGTGCCAAGAACCAACAGTAAACAGAAATAGACACGGTTCCATCCCGCATGGAATTTACAGTGTCGTGGGAGAGGCTGACATTAATAAATGTCAAACACAAAACACAAAAATGTGTTCCAAGCTGAAATGAGTGCTCTGGAGTTGGGATTCAGGGTCCTATCGGGTATGTGACAGCAGAACTTGACCTGGCCTGGGGGTCACTTGGAGCAAGTCCTAGAGAATGAGTAGAGAAGATGGGGGTCCTTTTCAGTCTGAAGGAATAGCATTTGCAGAGGCTGCAGGGCTGGAGGGAGCCTGGCACAACTGCAGAACTCAAGGGTCAGGGTGGCTGGAGTACAGAGAGCAGACAAAGAATGTTTGGGGTAAGATTAGAGAGGGAAAGACGAGGTGGGGCTCTGTGGGCCGTTTTAAGGAGTTTGGCCTTTCTTCTAAGAGCAGCGGGAAGCCACTACAGAATTTAAGCAGGGGAATAACTTGATCTGATTTGCATTTGAGAGGGGCACTCTTCTCTGAAGCCAGCGAGTTATGGATAGCACGCCTTCCTCTGATACCCACATCACTTTGCACGTACCTCTGCTCGAAAGGCTTCTTCACCTCTTTTGAGTCATGGACCCTTTTGAGAATCTGATTCACCTATTTTTAGGGAGTTTGATGTAGGCAGTTTTTACAAAGATACAGGCAATTCAACAGGGATGGTGAAGCCTCCTGGGGCTAGCAAGAAACAGGGAGCAGTTACCACTCCTAATCCTGAAAGGCAAAGGGGTCCTTGGAAGCGATGCAGCTGTGACTGTAAGAGAGGCAGCTAGTAAAGGCTGTAGCCTTGGGCAGAGGAATACTAGACACTGGTGGAGAAATATATACCACTACACTGAAAGGTCACAGGTTCGATTCCCAGTTAGGACGCATACCCAGATTGTGGTTCTATCCCTGGTCAGGGTGCATTTGGGAGGCAACTGATCAATGTTTCTCTCCCTCTCCATTCCTCTCTCTCTAAAATAAATTTTTTATAAAAAATATATATAAAACAGCTGTAGCTGGTTTGGCTAGTGGATAGAGAATTGGCCTGCGGACTGAATGGTCCTGGGTTCAATTCTGGTCAAGGGCATATGCCTGGGTCGCATGCTGGATCCTCTGGGGGATCTGCAGGAGGCAGCCAATCAATGATTTTTCTCATCATTGATGTTTCTATCTCTCTCTCCCTCTCCCTTCCTCTCTGAAATCAATAAAAATATATAATTTTTAAAAAGAATGAAACAGACCAAAATATCCCCAAAGCCTATCTATTCTTTTAGTTTGAAGTAAAATTCTAGGTTATAAGATTAAAAATACTATGTGTCAGAGAATGTTTTATCCACTGAGGGGTAATGACTTTGTTGTCAAAACTGGTACTTTACACATATAAAAATATTCCAAGATATATGTATATACACAGGTTGGTGTAGACACATGGTTCTCTTTACTTGGGTAGCAGAGAAGGCCTAGGAACAATGAGACACCAATATCAATGAGCACACCTAGCCCCCAGAGCTTGGTTTCTAATACTATTCTCCAAGAAAAGAGACCCAGGCTCCTTGGAGATATGACTGATTCTAGGACTGGGGCAGGAAATATACAAGGTGATCTTGGAACATCTTACCAAGTAGAATGTCAAAAAGTCAGGAATTGCTAAAAAGCAAAACAAACCACAGTGATGGGACATAGGAGGCAATCGAAAGAGCTCCCCATGGCCAAAGCTGGAACCATCTGAGCAACAGAATTAATAGAGTAGTATTGGATTACAACCCAAAGTATAAAATAGATCTCCATGACTCCATGCTGATATAAATAAGTGGTGGAATACATACATAAATAGAGAGGGGAGAGGAAACTAATCTCACGTGCAGAAGAATTCCAAATTATTTATGTAGATACTTAGCCCTCCCTCGTGGAGGTGGAGCAAGACTTCCCCTCCTTAAGTGGGGGCTACACATAGTGACTTTCTTCCAAAGGGTACAGTATGGGAAGGGAGAGATGGAAGAATGACTTCACAGCGGAGAAAACTAATACACTACCCCAGCCAGGTGATCAAGGTCAACATCAACAGTATTAAGTCATGCACATGGTATGATGTGATGTGATAAAAATGGCACGTCTATGTCTTCTCCCCCCAAAAAACGTAACTTCAATTTAATCATGAGAAAAACATCAGAGAAATATCAACCGAGGGACAGTCTACAAAATACCTGACCAATACTCCTCAAAGCGTCAAGGTCATCAAAAACCAGGAAAGGCTGAGAACTGGTCACAGCCAAGAGGAGCGGAAGTCATGACAACTAAATGTAATATGGTATCTTGATGGGACCCTGGGGGAGAAAAAGGCACGTTAGGTAAACAGCAAGGAAACCTAAATAAAGTATGTACTTTATTTAATAGTAATGTACCTTATTTAATAATTTTGTACTTTAATAAAGTATGTACTTTATTTAATAATTTTTTTTAAAATCAGAATAATGGATCAGTATTGATTGATTAATTATAACAAATGTACCATAGTAATGTAAGCTGTTAATAATAGTGGAAAGTGACCGTGGAGTATATGGGAACTCTTTATACTATTTTGCAATTTTTCTGTAAATCTGAAACTATTCTAAAAAATAAAATTTGTTTCTAAAAAGCTGGTACTCTAAGTCTAAAAGGTTGAATCTGTTACATTTCAGACATAACGATTATCAACACAACATCAGCCATTACACTGCTGTTCTTGTAGCAGCCATCTGTCTCTGTCTGAGGCTCCTCGAGGCATTTCCCTAGGACATGGCGACTGAGCTGCCCCCTTAGTGCCGCTGTTTTGATTCTTCTCCCTCATTCGCTCTCAGCGCCCCGTGTAAAGAATGACACAATCTGAGCTCTTCTCCAATGGGCGGGCCTGGGGCAGCTTCACGGTGCTGGACAACTCGGCCTGGTACCAGGAGCAGCACCTGGTGGACTTCCTGGCGGCGGTGGGCGGCCACTTCCGCATGGGCACGCTGCTGAGCCGGCTGAGCGTCCAGACCCGGCTCAAGAGCCCCGAGGGCATGAGCTTGGCCGAGTTCCTGTACCAGGTGCTCCAGGCCTACGATTTCTACTACTTGTTTCAGCGTTACGGATGCCGGGTGCAGCTGGGCGGATCTGATCAGCTGGGCAATATCACGTCGGGATACGAGTTCATCAACAAGTTGACTGGAGAAGACGTATTTGGAATCACTCTTCCTCTGATTACAAGTACAACTGGAGCAAAACTGGGAAAGTCTGCTGGCAATGCTGTGTGGCTGAGCAGGGATAAGACATCTCCATTTGAACTGTATCAGTTCTTTGTCAGGCAGCCAGATGATGCGGTAGAAAGGTACCTGAGACTCTTCACTTTTCTGCCCCTTCCAGAGATTGACCACATAATGCAGCTGCACGTCAAAGAGCCAGAAAAGCGGGGTCCTCAGAAACGACTTGCTGCAGAAGTCACGAAGCTGGTTCATGGGCAAGAAGGGCTGGATTCTGCTAAAAGGTGTACACAAGCCCTTTATCACAGTAGCGTAGATGCACTGGAGGTCATGTCTGATGAAGAGTTAAAAGAGTTGTTTAAAGAAGCTTCATTTTCTGAATTAGTTCTTGACCCTGGAACAAGCGTCCTAGATACGTGCCGCAAAGCAAATGCCATTCCAGATGGTCCCCGGGGGTATCGGATGATAACAGAAGGCGGAGTCAGTATAAATCACAGACAAGTAACAAATCCAGAGAGTGTTTTGGTTGTTGGACAACATATTCTTAAGAATGGACTTTCATTACTTAAAATAGGAAAAAGGAATTTCTACATTATAAAATGGCTTCAACTATGATGAAAAATCCTTCTGATGATTCAAACTTACCGCCATTCATTCTCAAGATATACGAAAGGTTGGCTCCAGAACTTAACATTCCTTCACTTACGCCAATCAGCAGAGAATGGAGTATATACTCTAGGCCTCACAGTGTGAGTAATTTCATTATTTATATAGGTTGGTTAATAAGTTGTTTGTCTAAATGATGGGATTTTATTTCTTGATCCTTAAACATTAAGGACTACCATAGAAAACCATGGTTTCCAGAGTTAGTATGTTTTAAAAATTATACTTTATGAAAAAACTAAATGCTGTCTTTCCAGTCCTATCTTGCTCTCCTTTTTGGACATGAGGAACAATGAAAAAGAGGTAACCTAAGGAATTGCAGATACTTTTATATCAAGTATATATATCTCACTGATCTCGCTAATGTCTGTATTAAAACCAGCAGTGCCTCTAGCATCCACATTAGAAATCTAGTACTGGAAACTGATTTTTGTTGTTGTTTAGGAACCAAATACAGTTCTTAGAAAAGATTAAAATTCAGTACTTGACTTTTCAGAAAGTTTCTAATTATTTTCCATTCCCTTACCTGTGTTTCAGTGGAACTAAATTTACTCACCACCTTATTTTGTCAAACTAAATGTAGCAATATTTTATAAATTTAAAAACTTTTACATTAGTTTTAAGTTTCAACTTCTGTCCCCCACCAGATTACAACTTGAGATAAACTGAAAACTTAAGTAACCAAAGAAGTAAAATAGGCAAATATTATGTTATACCAACTATCCAATTATATGAGAATATCAAAAGATACTCGGGTAAGGGAAGTTTTCAGGTCAAATTTAAAGGATTTCCTATCAAGACTTAGTTAAGCTCTACATAGTTTAGGCAAATTAAATCTCCAGAACTTAAATTTCCACATATGACAAATCCATTTCCCTGAGGATCAAGTGAAAGGCACAAACATACAGAATGGTTCATAACCAAATTTACTCTAGAAAACCTTACAGGCAGCAAAGAGTGGCTTTAATGTTCAAGTTCTAGCCATTTGCTACCTGGATTACTTAGAGAAAGTCACTGTCTTTATATGCAAAAATGGAGATGTAATAATACTTCAGTGAATTGTTAGAATCTAGTAAGAAAGTCAAAACTTTGATACAATATACACTGTATTAGATTTGTAAGTTAAAAAGCTAGAGTTTATCTAAACCTTTTTCTGGGAGTAAAGTGAGGAAGAATTCATTTATTGATAAACTTTAATGTCATTTCATACCAGCAATTTTATTTACACAGCAAGAACATACAGGTGTCCATTATAAATGTCATAGATCATCTCCACATTTCAGAACTTAACCCAGTTTAGAGCCAACAAAGGTTTCTCTTGCCACACCTCTCTTGCCTATTTTTCTTTGTACTAGTACAAGGTATGTAGTACTAGAAAGTGCATTACCATAGCATGTCTTTAAAGGGAACATTTTTTAATTGGAAATCTGTTTGATATACTGGAGAAAGATGCGTTAGAAGGGTTTTTCCCCCCCTTATAAATTCAAAAGGCTAAAACAGTAGTTATCTAATTGTCTAAAGTAAGTAAACATGGATGGGTATAATTCAAAGCTAATGTTTAAAGATGGCAGAGTGATTTTAAAGTGCACTAACAAACATTTTGATACGATGTATTCTATCAAGATCTGAATCTGGGGTTTTTTTATGTTTGAGATAAGTTGGTGAGCCTGTTTCTTAGTAAATGGGTACCTAAAGTTAACAGATATATTTATATTGTCAATAGTCCTTCATAAATATTGTAACTTAAAAAGAAATTTTAATATCTGCTAGATGCCTTAAGAATTTTGACCATTATCTTAACATTTATAATGTAATTCATATCAAAAATCACCTGAGGAATTTTCCCACAAGGTGGTATGTAAAAAAAAAAAAAAAAAAAAGAATGACACAATCTCAGTAGCAAATTGCAAAATTCAGTTCTTCAAATGTTTATTGGTACCCAGTTTGTGCTTTATTCTGAGAATACAGTCCAGTACAGAGCCCGCAGTCACGGTGCTGACAGTGGAGTGGAAGATAAACGTTTCCCCAGCAATGCTCCTAGGTCCAAGAGCATATAAAATGGAGGGACAGAGGTAACACAAGGGAGGCAGTGGTCAGGATCAAGTATGAAGAGCCTGGTGCTGCAGGATGAGGCGTGAGGTGTCACTGCAGGGCTTTTGAACAGGTGAATTACATGATCAGATTTAGCTTTCAGAAAGATAATTCTGAAAAAAAAAAAGGAAAAAGATAATTCAGATTGTGGTATGGAGAGTGGACTTGCAAGTAAAAATAGGAGAAAAGGGGGAAATGCAGTTGTTAATCTTGTACCAACCTCCCCCTGGTTTGAGCTTAGGAATTTAGGGTCTCTTCTGAATGCCTCAGTTTAATTCAGTGAACCATTTGCAGGGTTCACTCTGGGGTCTTTAAGGGATAGATCCAAAAGAGCAAAGATGATTCGAGTCCTGTCCGGTCCACATGGTGAGTCGTTGGGGTCTAGCATGTGGCACTGACCTCACACCAGGGATGCACAGCGTACATCATCAATTTGACAGTCATCCATCCAGTCAGATGTTCTCTTTCTGCAGCAGTTAACACCCAAGTCTCAGTTTCCTCAAACTCATCACTGGGCCACCAGGGCAGGTAGTAGTGGCTGATCACCATCAAACTGACATTGCCATCACCCTGACGTAAGGGAATTTGGCTTCTTTTGGGACTTGGACTCATAGCTGTGTTCTCAGAACCTCCGGTGCGTTGTTCAGCTGTGCTTCCTGAGGCCAGGGGCACATTCTCTGAAGAGACTCTTTCATCACAGACTCTGAGCTTAATCTAGTCCAGGGGTCAGCAAAGTATAGCCTGTGGGCCAGAGGGGCTTGCCATCTACTTTTGTATGTCAAGTTCGATCAGAACACAGCCACACTCATTCGTTTCTGTATTCTCTATGCTCTATGACTGCTTTTATGCAGCAACAGCCAAGTACAGGAGTTACCTCAGGGACCAGATGGCCTGCAAAGCCTGAAGAGTTTTACTGTTTGGACCTTTACCGAAAAGTTTGCCAAACCCTAGTCTAACCAACCTGTCCAATAGAAATATAGTGCAGCCTGGCTGGTGTAGCTCAGTGGTTGAGCATCAGCCCAGGAACCAAGAGTTTCAATTCCCCGTTAGGGCACATGCCAGGTTCTGGGCTCGATCCCCAGTAGGGGGCGTTCAGGAAGCAGCCAATCAATGATGTTTCTTTCTCATCAAAGTTTCTATTTCTCTCCCTTCCTCTGTCTCTAAAAATCAATAAAAAAAATATTTATAAAAAGAAATATAGTGCAAGTCACATATGTGAGCTAATGAGATTTTCTAGTAGTCACATTTTAAGAAGTGAAAAGAAACAAGTGAAATCAAATTTAATAATGTTTTATTTAACCTATATCTGAAACATCCTTTCAACATACAATTGATACAAAAAATGAGTGAGATATTTTATATTCTTTTTGCATGAGAAGTCTTCAAAATCCAGTGTGTATTTCCCACAGCTCAGTTCACACCAGACACATTTCAGGTGCTGAAGAGCCTCATAGGCTAGTGGTTACTAGATAGACAGTGCAGGTCTGCACTCGGGCCCACCCAAGAGTGAGACAAGCCCCAGCTCTTGATGCAGAGGTCAGCGTTGACAGGGCGGAACAGTTTTTCTATAACTGACACTCCTGGCCTGCCTCTAAGATACTGGCTCCTTCCCTCAGAAGATGGCCCAGCATAAAAAAAAAAGACAGATTTACTTGTTTAGTTGCAAAATGTGGCAACCTCCGTGGGTGTGTGCTGAGCTTGTACTTTCAGAATTAGGCATCCTCAAAGCACCCTGCATAACTCTTCTAATTCTGGGTCCCTTTTGTGATGGTTAAAATCATCCACGAGACAGATGTCAGAGTCAGCAGGACAAAGAAAAGGTACCCACTTTCCTTGATCCACCAGAGCTAGAGGGATGTCATGCTGCAAGTGAGGCCAAAAGAAACATTCAGCTGAATTCAGGCCTTGGTGAAACTCAAAGACATTTGGGTCTTGTTTCTTATTTCCCGAGTCCCTGCTTTAGAGCATGTAGTCAGTTTTGGAAATGTCTGTGAGTTTCATCTCTCCCCTGGTATTTCTTCAGTTTCTTTCTTTCCTACTTATATAGAGAGAAGGAGTCACACTGAATAACACTTAAATGTGTTGTGTGGGTTTTTAAATATATATACTAGAGGCCCAGTGCACGAAATTCATGCACTTAGGGGGGTGTCCCTCAGCCCAGCCTGTGCCCTCTCGCAGTCCAGGAGCCCTTGAGGGATGTCCGACTGGGGCCTAAGCTGGCAGTCGTACATCCTTAATGCTGACACAGAGGCGGGAGAGGCTCCCACCACCGCCACTGTGCTCGCCATTTGTGAGCCAGGCTCAGGGCTTCTGGCTGAGTGACGCTCCCCCTATGGTAGCACACTGACCACCAGGGGGCAGCTCCTGCCTTGAGAATCTTCCCCCTGGTGGTCAGTGTGCGTCATAGCAACTGGTTGTTCTGCCGTTTGGTCAATTTGCATATTAGCCTTTTATTATATAGGATTCTTTATTGATTTCAGAGAGGAAGAGAGAGGGAGAGCAATAGAAAAAACATCAATGATGAGAGAGAAACATCCATCGGCTACCTCCTGCACTTCGCCTACTGGGGATGTAGTGCACAACCCGGGCATGTGCCCCGACTGGGAATCGAGCTGTGACTTCCTGATTCATAGGTTGATGCTCAACCACTGAGCCATAACAGCTGGGCTGTTGTGTGTGTTTTTTTATTACAGGTGCTTGTGGTTTTCTTGATGCTGTTTCAGAACTTACCCAATTCTTTCCCCCAGAACACTTAAACTCTTTTATCCATCAAGGCCTTTATTCAGGGTATATTCTTTATTTTTAAATTCCCCTGTTCTGTAAGTTGTCCTAATGCCCTTCGTCCATGGCCCATGGCACCCTTTTCTACATTAATGGACAGGGCTGAGTGAACATTTATCCACTCACCATATATTTAGCAAGTACTACTCTGCTCTGGAGATGCAGTAGTGAAACACAGTCGTTGCCAATCCATGGGAGATTCAGACTCCTAGAATCCTAGAAGCACATTCTGGTGCAAGGTGAGACATGGATGACTTGCCTATGAGGGAGGTTGGGCGTGGGGAAAGGGGGAGATGGGTGAAAGGAAATGAGTCATGTCCTCAGGCTCAGTGCAGAGCAATCTCATGATTTGCTTTTGTTCCTGCAGGCCAACACCCAGAAAGTCCTACAGAAGCTGGGAGACGTACAGGAAATTTTTCACAAGAGGCAAGTGAGTCTGATGAAACTGGCAGCCAGACAGACTCGTCCAGTGCAACCTGTGGCCCCCCATCCTGAGTCCTCCCCAAAATGGGTGTCACCAAAAACCAGCCAGCCTTCTGCCATGGGTAGGT